AATAAAATTGCTTTATGAAATAGGCCTTCACTCTTTTCTGATAACATGTGCATAGCAGCAGAGCTGGCGCCTGCGCTTTGACCAAATATTGTGACGTTGTCCGGATCGCCACCGAATGCTGCAATATTTTTCTTAATCCATTTCAGAGCCGTTAATTGGTCTTTCAATCCAAGATTTGCGACGTCGTGCAAACATAAAAAACCCAGCGCTCCGAGTCGGTAATTTATTATAACTGCCGTCACATTTTTGGTTACTAAGAATTCAGGGTCGTAGTGACCCTTGCTGCCGAAGTAGTAAGCTCCTCCGTGGATGTACATTAGAACTGGTAAATTGTCGCCAGGCTTGGCATGTTCAGGAGTATAAACATCAAGTTGAAGGCAGTCCTCGTTATGAGTTTGGATAAAGTAGAACTTTTGAGCACAGCATCCGATTATATTAATTGCATTAAATACTCCTTTCCATTTATGTGGTTTTTTTGGTGGCTGAAATTATAAGATTATAAAATCAATATAAATTTTATCTAAGAGTTTTATAAATGAATAACTTTACAGTATGCAATAACTACATGAAATCTGATTACCGTTATTCTAATTTAGTCAGTATCAATACTATGTTTTATTATTGTGGATATAATAAAGATAAAAATAATTCTATTTTACTTTTCTTCGCTTAGTCAGGGTTGGCTGAATTAATTATTACAATTGCATAAATTATTATTTTGTGATATAACTTTTAATTAATCGAGTATGTTCCTAAAAATCATTGTGCAAGCAATACAATTATGTGCTGCCTTTTTTTTAATAGTAGCGATGCACACACTACGTTACTCACACGTTTTTTGTACATGTATTTTATTTCGTTAACTGACCAATGCAACTGTGTATCTACTTTTTATATTTGTTTTTATATTACTGTGCCTTGTGTGTGTGTGTGTTTAACCCAAATAAAAGTGTAATCTATCTATCTAAATTAATATAAATTTTCACAATTCTATATCATCTATGTAATTTCACAGATAGTTATTTTCATTCACAGCGATCTAATTATTAACTATTTGCTAATCCCTTATACATAAAAACACTAAACCTGCAATAAAGCTATTTTAGCATTTGAACTATTTTGTCCTGTCTGTCTGTCTTTTTATATACTCTCTTAAAATATCTTATAGTTAAAATAGATTTGTAATACATACATTTCTTTTAATATTATGCCTCTGTGATATGAATTATGATTTTGATGATATATATGCTACGTCATGAATGAATATGTATTTGGTAGCACTGGCAATCGCATGCAGCATGCATTGATGCATGTGGGGTGAAGTTTGAAACGAAAGTGCATTTTATAAGCTTTAACAAACATTTTTGGCAGACTTTTCTATAAAAACTATTTCATATTAGGACAATATCGTAGGACAATCGTCCTATTTACATGGACAGTAATATGACCATTCATGTTGGTAACTGTTTTAATAACCGTAGTAACAGTACTCATATTATATGGACAGCAATATGACCATTACGTCAACATGTGACGTTTACAAACCACTTATTGTCATTCCGGATGACTAAGATGGCATCATCATCATCATGACTAGTTAGTTAGTCTACAATTAAATAGACTTAAAGACCCTTTGTAATTTCATTTAATAAAATGACAGCTTCTAAAATGCATATGACAGTAAAAACGGAATTAACATCAAATAATTGAAATAATTGTTTGTCTGTTTGATTTTGTTAATCTGTAATCTCTTGCTAATCCGAATTTGACAGGACTTTTACTAGTGATAGCTAATCTTATAAGGAGTATCTTATCTAATCCTTCAACCGAAATATAGCTTCAACAACAAACTGCTTACTGATTAAATGTGTGACAGACGAACATACACATATAACTTACTATCTCGATAGTAGGCATATATATCTTAATTAATATTAGTAATCTTATTTAATACTAGCTGTACCCGCGACTTCGTCCGCGTGGAATTTAACTTTATTTTTTTAAAATATAAGTACCCTAAATTACTCCTTATTACATCAACTACCTCCCAAAAAAAGTCCCGTTAAAATCGGTCAAGCTATTTCAGAGATTAGCCGGAACAAACAGAGAGACAGACAAATATTGTAAAAAATGTTATTTTGGTGTATGTACCGTATTTATATTCATATGCATGTAGTAAAAAACAGTTATTTCAATATTACAAACCGACACTCCAGTTTTATTTATATGTATAGATTATAAACGCGAAAGTTAGTGAGTATGGATGGCTGTTTGTTACTCTTTCACGAAAAAACCACTGAACGGATTTTGATGAAACTTTACAGTACAGCTTATACATAATAGCACATAGCTATGAAATTCATGCGTGTGAAACCGCGGGAAAATAATATATACAAGTAATGAGGTAGGAAATTGACTAATAATAATATTATGTATTATAAAAATAAAATGAAAAAAAAATAGAAAAAAAACACAAAAGAGAAAAAAAGAAAGGAAAAAAAATATCTGTAAAAAAAAAGAAAAACAAAAAAAATATTAACTGCGGGAAGCCATAATGCATATTATTCCCGGAGCAATAAAGGCATGGAAAAAATAGAAAGTAAAGTTTAAAAAAACTTGCAAAAAAGGGCATGGACCTTCAGTCTATGGACATAAGGGCGTAACTATATAAAAAAAGTAGTGAGATATAAAAAGAACAAAAAATGAATTACCTTACTTTAATTCAGTTACATTAAATCTTCGATCCAGCATGCAATCTCGTACAGTTCAGGAACATATAAACACAAACATACAACGTGAATAAAGTGAAATACACGTGCAATTCACAAGCGTGGATGTGACGCAAGTATTTTCCAAAAAATCTTTATTTTTTTTATACCACGTAGGTGGCAAACAAGCATACGGCCCATCTGATGGTAAACGATTACCGTAGCCTATGGACGCCTGAAACACGGGGTGTACGCGTTGCCGACCCTTAAGAAACCTTAATATACCCTTCTTGAAAAACCCCATGCTGTAGTCTCTTGAGAAATTATTGAAATTAACTTAAATTTAAGCACTTTTGAATAGTAACGCCTGAAACACCAGGGGTGTACGCCGACCCTTAAGAAACCTTAATATACCCTTCATGAAAAACCCCATGCTGTAGTCTCTTGAGAAATTATTGAAATAAACTTATATTTAAGCACTTTTGGATAGTTATACTTATTTGTTTTAACCTACCGCTCATTGGGGAAGCTCTAGAAGAAGAACGAGCGAGAAACTTGCGTGTTACTCTTTTGAATAATTTTTGTAACTTTTCTTTGGTGTACAATATTATTTGGTATCATTATCACTACATAAAACAAAGTCACTATCGCTGTCTGTCCGCCCCTATATGTACTTAAATATTTATAACTATGCAACGGATTTTGAAGCGGTTTTTATTAACAGATAGAGTGATTCAAGAGCAAAGTTTATGTGTATAATACATGTACACCCGGGCGAAGCCAGAGCGTGTAGCTAGTATAGTATAAAACAAAGTCGCTGTCTCTATCTGTCCGTCCCTATGTATACTTAAATCTTGAAAACTACGCAACGAATTTTGAAGCGGTTATTTTAATAGATATAGTGATTCAAGAGGAAGGTTTATATGATCATACATGTACACCCCAGGCGAAGACAGAGCGAGTAGCTAGTTTAAATATATTATTTTATCTATGTTGATCGGAAACGCAAGCATAATCGTGGTAAATGTTTTATGTATTTCATTTTGTATTAAAATAAAAATGCGCTAAAAATGCAAATAGTTCAATGTATCAGGTATTTTCTATAGATTTAACCCGTAGTCAAAACTGTATGAAGTGTAGATAATGTTACAATGATCAACTTGAGTGTGATTTCTTATACATGCAACTGTGATTTCATGATACAAATGAATTCGACTGACGATGAAACAAGTTGATATTTTATGAAACAATGATATATTTAGTTTTGTCAATGGCTCGCGTGACATTTACAGTCTGTTCTGTTTCAGTTGAACCACATATAACATAATATTACACAGTTGAACCAAGAGTTACCAAGTTGTGATCACAATCTGTTTGTTAACTAAACGTCTAACTTGAAATTTGACTTTACCAGAATATATGTATACCTACAGAGGATTTTTTAACTCTAAAGAGATGATAGTTACAGTCAACAAATTGATTTTAATGAAATTGACTTTACTTTTAACTCCAAACCGATGTCTTAGTTAACAGTAAAAAATTTACAGAATAGAATAGAATACAAATAATTTTTATTCAAATAAACTTAAAATAAGCACTTTTCAATAGTTAACTAATATTTGACCGCTCATTCGGAAAGACTCATCATAAGTTAAATTTGTTCAGCATTCCATATTTAACTTTTGGTGTGAATACAAACTGTCAAATGGCCAAGTTGACAAAATTAAATAAACATAATAATTACTTGATATTACCTAAGAACTCACTCAATAACATGATTGGTGTAATCAATGAATCACTATGAAGCATGCTTTTAAATGTATATTTAATGGACAGCAAACGACGTGAAAGAAAATGAACACGTAATAATAATAATAATAATCTCAGGATAATTCACACAGCGCCATCTAGACCCAAATTAAGCTAGCTAAAGCTTGTGTTATAGGTACTAGATAACTGATACAAATACATAGATAATTTTTTTTCGTAAATACATACATAATATACATAGAAAACACCCAGACCGACACAAACAATCGTACTCATGAATACAAAAGTGTGCCGTGCGAGGAATCGAACCCGCGACCATCGGACGTAAACCAGTGTGCTAGACCGCTAGACCACCGAGGTCGTCAAATCGTCAAACACATCTAAGTACTTTGGCGAAATGAAATGCATCCCATGAAAGAGGGCATAGATCCTTTCTCTGAGTGAAAATATTTAGTTAAATAGGAACGTTCATACATACAAAACATGTTGTTGTTAATAACAATAATTTAAGTTGATACTTACTTGAAATCTTTCACAAGTCGCATACGGTATGCCGTAATATTTATTCACGCCAGCTACACTCCGTATGCCCCGCAGCTTGCCTTGACTTATTTCTAGTACAGGCGTGAAGTACAGACAGTAGCCCGAATGTAGAATAAATATAAAATTTACAATACATCTCTTATAGAATTTCATTTTTGTATTACTGAATCTTTACAAATTTGTCACCGCTGTCTGTACGCTTAGATTTTTAAATTACGCTGCTCATTTTGATATACTTTTCAGCAATAGATAGAGCAACTCAAAACGAAGGTTTATATTTGTAATACATATATATTGTAGTACAGAAAACCTGAGAAATTCAAAGATTTATAATAAAAAGCCGTGGCGTCCCGCCAGTTAAGTATTTATTCCTTGTATTTACACTTATATGTTTCTAGGATGCAACATGATTTCTGCCCAATTGCAGTTTCATATATGCTCAATTATATATGAAGTGCGGCTTTATGCTCCTTGCATGCATTATGCTAATATAATGAGATAATTCAATGCCTTCATTGTAGTGCTGTACATATACATTCGAGTGATATATGTTTCTTCATATTCTACTGAGTCGTAGCTAGGTAACGTATAGTGAACTAGTTCATGAATTTTTTTTATAATTTTTAATAAATTTGATCGGTTTTCTTTTCAATTTAAGCAAACAATTATTTTTTATATTTTTCGTTTACTTTTTACTTCCTTACTTGTATTTATTTGTAGAAATTAATAATTTATTTTATAATTCAACGAAACAATCCCGAAGAATAAAATAATTTCGTATTGTCCTTTATTTAACATCAAATATTAATTAAAAATAGAAATACATTAGTAAATTAGTTTAATAATTCCTATTAAATATCTATTACTTCACGATTATGCCAATCAATTAAATACAAATATATTTAGATACTTACACTTTTTTACATTTAACTACCTATTTCGTTTTACTTATGATTTATAGTTTATTTTTTATTTTTCCACAGGTTTTTTACTATTTGTGTATATATATATATAAATAGTTTTGAACGTGATATTTATAATAATTTTACGACTATTACAATATGTGATAATATGATTTATTTATTTCTCGTCACAAACATGATGGTAACAATACATGTAGTATTCTTTATAGTAAAATACTTAAATTTTATTATTTGAATCGATCTGCTGTGAGGAGCTGGCGTCTGAGATAGGTATAACCTAATACAGATCACCGGGCTCCCAACTGAAATGTGATATAAGTTAAACAAATTATGATGCTCATAATGTAGTAAATATGAAAAAGACATTTAAATTAAAACATATAAAATGTAACCAATATTTGTAATATTTATATGAAACAAATTAATTTGTAATGTTCATGTCATATGAAGTTTACACTATTATAACCTAATACGGTTATGATATGTTACAATAATTGTGAAAATTGTGATAATTGAATTTTAAATTATTATTATAATTATTAATTTATTTATTGTTATTTAATCACTTGATATCCGGTTATGTTTTAAATTCTTTATTCAAACACATTTGACACAAAATATTTATGACACTGTATTCCCATATAACACAATTTATGGACATGTTATTAAAAAAATACAAAATAATGCAAATTAGACGTGTAACTGCCGCTGGTTTTGTTTATAAACTGAGCATGCGTGTATTCAATGTTTATCCATAGATTGTATCATAATGTATAAGCGAAGTTAGGCGTGGATGGCGAAAGTAGCAGATCGCGAGACTGACTCTTGCGCAAGTACGAGACGCTGTCGCTCGGCTCCTCGGTGACCTTCGAGATTCTAGTGGCGACCGTGGAGTGGTCGCAGGGGTGCCAACCGTACGAGGACTCTCGTAATCTATACATATAAATAAAATTGGAATGTCTGTTTGTAATATTGAAATAACCGTTTTTTGCTACATGTATATGAATAAAGTAAGTAAGTACCCTAAGTAGATTTAGCCCAGGGCCCCACAAATTCACGATCCGCCCCTGTTTAGTGAAATTCTCGACTGTCCATTTTGTGAATGTAACACTTGACATGCTGACATTTAACTGAGTCCAGTGAACGTGGCAGGAGGCTACCGTTCTAACAGTGTTCTTTCACAATACGCAATTTGGTTTGTTATCATTCTCTCCATGATAATTCAATTTCAAATTCTTTATTTGTGAAAGGTTTTAAGCGTCTTAAGGTCTCAAAAACATACTGCACAAATAACATACTGCAAACTTTTTTGATGTCGAGCAGATTCAAACTCACTAACTTTAGGTTTATATCGGTGAAGTACTGGTGATTTATTTCACCGATTTAAACCTCAAGTTAGTGAGTGAGAATCAATAATAGTTACGACGCACTTAAGTGATTCACTTATACGACGCTTTTTACAGATTAATGAAATTTAAAAAACGATTAAGTATTTCGAACTTCGATTATAAAAACTAAATGTTTAGACTTTCAAATCAAATCAAAATATCTTTATTCAGGTAGGTCTATTACAGACTTTTACGATATGTCAAATCTACTTAGGTAGAGCGACGACATACGTAAGGTTGCGGGTAGTAACTGGATGAGAAGGGCTGAAGATCGTGCCCAGTGACGTACCTTGGGAGAGGCCTATGTCCAGCAGTGGACTGAAGTGGACTGATGATGATTAGAATAAGAATAGAAGAATAGAATAATATTTATTACTACACACTATATTATTTATGATTGACAGTTTTAACTACGAAGAACTGACAAGAAACTCGGTTATTCTTTTCAAATGAGCTTATAAATGTTTACAAAAATATAGATAAATTTTTAAATTCAATAGAGTGACCAAAAACATATGTTACAACAATTTTGTCAAAAGTAAATCAATCTCAGGAAAAATCAATGGATGTTTTATTTTACAATATTTATATAGAGAGGTACAACTATGTAACAAGCTGCCATGTTTCGCCGTATGGATAACGAGCGGCGAGCACCAATCATGGCATAAATTATAAGGCACAATTAAACGAGTGCAGTCGACGCACAGAGGGCACTGTTAATCCGGGTAATAAAGAAATATACCCAGGAAACGACGGCTAATTGTTATAAACTGTGCAAACATGCAAATTGGACGAGCATCGGACTTCCTCCGGCTCTTAATTCAGAAGTTATCTCGTTTTGTTTCAGACGCACAACCCCTCCCCCGCCCTACCCAGCATCCCGCCCCCTCCCTCCCTAGTCTCTACTTTAATGGACATTTCAACTGTCTATTATTTTAATATTATAATGTCTAACTGTGCCGTAGAAATGTTCTTGTATATGGTATATTACGGTTGCAAAATAATTATGTGTTAGTAATGAATCGAATATTTTTTATATTATATTATAATAATAATTGCGAAACTGAGGTGGCAATGGGCAAGGCACATAGCTCGTAGGACAGATGGCCGTTGGGGCAGTAAAGTCCTCGAGTGGCGACCACGGACCGGAAGACGCAGCGTGGGAAGGTCTCCAGCAAGGTGGACCGACGATCTGGTCAAGATCGCTGGGAGGCGATGGATGCGAGAAGCACAGGACTGATCGTCGTGGAGATCTTTGGGGGAGGCCTTTGTCCAGCAATAGACGTCTTCCAGGCTGTAATGATAATGGCGATGATTATTCACAGAGGAGAGCTATCGGACAGTATTGGAAACATGTACAACATTTATTTCAAAAGAATACGAGCTGAGTTTCTTGTCAGTTCTTCTCATCTCGAAACCATTCCGAACTGACGGTAGATTTGACATATCATAAGAATCTGTAATAGATCTGAATAAATATGTTTTGATTTTGAATTTGAATGAAGTAAATATTATCTATAGTAAATATATCTCTGTGCATTTTCTACTGCATAAATCATGGTGAGATTACTAGATCTCATAATACCAGGATTATAGGATTACTTGGTTAGTGAATTTGTGTGTTATAATGCTCGAAATAAAAAATATGAATAAATATACGTAAATTTTTGACGTATATTTATATCATATTCTCAGTCGTGTAGGTATTTAAAATAGAATTGTATAAATAAAAAAACATATCTACACATATAAATAAAATTGTAGTGTCTGTTTGTAATATCGAAATAACCGTTTTTTATTACATGCATATGAATATAAATACGGTACATACACCAAAATTACATTTTTTTAAATTTTTGTCTATCTGTTTGTTCCGGCTAATCTCTGAAATGGCTGGACCGATTTTGACAGGTAGCTGATGTAATAAAGAGTAACTTAGGCTACTTTTACTTTAGTAAAATAAAGTTAAATTCCACGCAGACAAAGTCGCGGGAACAACTAGTAATGTAATAAATATAAATATTTAAGAATTAGTTAAAAAATACTATTACAGCTAGTGGAGCCTTCTGGCACAAGCATTTTTATGCTTAAAAGGAAGCTTCAATAACTATACAGAACATAGAAAAAATTGTGTTACCTAAATGAAGAATTTTGATTTTATTTAATAAATATGACAAAATTTGTTAATAGAAATAGAAATAGAAATAATCTTTATTCAAATAAACTCATTACAAGCACTTTTGAATAGTCATATTTTGATTCTACCACTCATTCGGAATGCAGATTCATCACAAGACGAATTAGCAAGAAACTTGTGAAATGTTATATTAACAAATTATAACACCCTATTAGGTCCATGTATTTAATTACACCCATATCAGAATCTCTGATTAAAACCTACATACATTGAAATAGTATCTTGTACGTGCAATGTTTATTACATCGTAAATGTGGTTTGCAACATTTCTTCATGTAGCCATCGTCGCTCGAGCACAATACATTGATGCACTAATATCGTGCAGGGATGTTAAGGAGCTCCATAACCGTACCGAAACTATCGGATATCCGATATAAAAAAATATTCGTAACCGAATCCGAAATAAGTTTCGGATAATAGGATAAGGGCGGAGCCTAATTGAGACATGTTATGTAACCATTTTATTAGCTATTTGTATTTTACTTTTGAAATTCCAAAAAAAAAAATCTGTAACCGAAATTATCCGAAACTCCGAAATAATTTCATATCCGTATCCGTATCTAGTATTCAAATTCAAATTCAAAATATCGTTATTCACGTAGGTCTATTACAGACTTATGATATGTCAAATCTACCGTCAGTTCGGAGTGATATCGAGATGAGAGGAACTGACAAGAAACTCAGCTCGTATTCTTTTCAAATAAATGTTGTACATGTTTACAATAATACAGAGTCATTTAAATTCAAATTTGGGAGAATAGAGTGACCACCAGCATATGCTATTGTTAAAGCAAATAGTCTAATCAGTGTTCGGAACCCGAACAGTCCAGTCCCCACAAGCAGCACCCGTTCACAAGTATGACGGATGAGTATAATAATCATTCCTATATCCAAAACCTATCCGTATCCGACATTTCGTATCCATAACATCCCTGCGGGCTATCTCGCAAGTTATAACGCCCTGGGCGGACGAGCAATCGTCCGATAAGTGTAAGTTGCACTCAGGAGTTAGCCCAATTTGTAGACTTATGCTTTACCGTTTGAAGTTGCCGCTGGAATATGTAACTATGTGATAATGATCCGAGAATGCATTTCCCGATAGTTCTCTGTTAAACATATACATTTATATGTATACTAGCTGTCGGTTATAGAATACGCTACGAGTAAAATTTCTTTTAAACATAAACTACGGGAACATTATCTCAATTTGTAACTTTTTACTACTCTCTTCTATTTCTCTTTCTTTCACTATTTTTCTATTCTACTCTCTATGGTTCTGTGACTGTCAGACTATTGAGTATCTAGTATGTATTTATTTTATATAATATTTGCATATATTTATGTAATTTATGATTGTATTCCTTAGATATATATTGTATTTATCATTCTGTTTATATTTTGTTGCTTTTTATTTATCATTTATTATATTTGCACCGCCAACATTTACTCTCTGCACCACCAATGGTCGACTGGTAGAAAATGCCGCATGGTGTTAAGTCCGCCAAATGTACTTTACTATATTTTGTATATTGTGTGCATTGAAGTTAAATAAATAAATAAAAAATAAAAGTTGCGAGGTAACAGATTGAGCTGGTATGGGCATGTTATGCGGAGGAACGAGGACCATGTGTTATGGAAAGTGTATAATATGAATGTGGATGGATGTAAAGGGAGGGGACGCCCTAAGAAAAGATGGATGGATTGTGTGAAAGATGATATGAATAAAAGAAGAGTATGTTTAGATATGACGACCGATAGAGAGCAGTGGAAGAGAATGACATACTGCGCCGACCACAAATAATGGGATAAAGGCAAGGCAATGATGATGATGATGTATACTAGCTGTCCCGGCAAACGTTGTTTTGCCTTAAAATAAAAAAAAATTTAGAGGTGGACTACCCCTAACATTTAGCGGGATGAAAAATAGATGTTGGTCGATCCTCAGATATACTGAATACGCTCACAAAATTTCATGAGAATCGGTCAAGCCGTTTCGGAGGAGTATGGGAACGAAAACTGTGACACGAGAATTTTATATATAAGATTTATATATCTTGTAGGGACTGGTCTGCTCTAATCACCACGACTGTTTTGAACCTTTTTTGTACTTAATATCTGAAGCTAATAAATTTGTGATAATAAGTGCTAGTTGGTGGGTTGTATTCGTACGTTTTGAATTGGAAATGTAAAGTTATAATGATTATTTAAAAGAGCAACACACAAGTTTCTTGCTCGTTCTTCTTGTGATTCTTTTTCAAAAACCATTTATTCATGTAGGACATTTTAGCAGCTTATGAACGTAAAAAAAATTATATTATAATTTTTATACAGCTTCGGTAGTCTAGCGGTTTAGCACATCGTTTTAAATACTTTCAATGGTTGCAGATTCGAATCCTCGTATGATTAATCAATCCCATGATTTTATACCACGAAGGTTTTATGTATATATTTACAAACAAAAAAATAAGTATTTTAAAAACTTACAAAAAAAGTAAGCTAGTTAGCGGCTAGTGTAGACAATTTAAATTTGGATATTACAGTATATAGTATAACAAAACTCTTTATTACGCACAGAAAAATATAAAAAAAAAATTATTCAAATGTGTTAAACAAAAGGCTTATTGCTTAATGCGATCGGTTACAATTAATATTTTCTCATATTAAAACTTACGAAGTGTCGCATCTGAGCAGTTACAAATCCAACATGAAGCTGCAATATCTGTTTAATTTACTTGAAACGACGAGTTCCAAGTGTCCAAGTTTTCGCTATTAGCATAGCTGACAGACAAACAAACAGCGTCGCAACTCTTTATGCGAGTTTCAAACTCTTTCATGCTCTTGAATTTATGTTTAGTGTTGATTTTGAATTGCAATGAAATGTTGTGTTGGTGTTGGCCATCTTTGTATATAGCATTCTTTACCTGCTGCTTGATTATGTAACTTTGTTACTAACAATTCTTGTTTGAAACAGATTTCAATTATTGATGACGCAGCATATTTTGTAATTTATGATAATAAATATTATGTAGGACTAACTGTACTCGCGAGTTCGTCCGCGTGGAAATAAATTTTCTAAATCAACAGAATTTTTCTAAAATAAAAGTAGCTTAAGTAACTCCTTATTACATCAGCTACCTGCCAATAAAAGTCCCGTCAATATCGGTATTTCAGAGAATAGCCGGAACAAACAGATAGACAAAAATTTTTAAAGGTGTTATTTTGATGTATGTACCGTATTTATATTCATATGCATGTAGTAAAAAACAGTTATTTCAATATTACAAACAGACACTCCAATTTCATTTATATGTATAGATAATTCATACGGTGATATCTAGTCCCAAGCTAAGTAGAGCTTGTGTTATGGGGACTAGACAACTGATATAAATACTTCGATTTTTTTGTAAATATATACGTAATGTACAAAATAATGATAAAGTTGTCTAGTACCCATAACACAAGCTCTACTTAGTTTCAGTCTACATGGCGTTTTGAGAATTTTTCATTTTCTTTTCATAATTTAAGAGCTGTGCTCTTGTCGGTGGAGCTCCCGCCACCTTCCATGATCTTCTATCAGTCTTTTAGCTGTTGATACGATACGACTCCAACTTTTTCCTTAGTCTCCTTGATCAGGCTGTGTCTTCCCCTTCCTCTCTTTCCATCTATTTGTTATCACTACGTAGTATAAAACAAAGTCGCTGTCGCTGTCTGTCCCTATGTATGCTTAAATATTTAAAACTACGCAACGGATTTTGAAGCGAATGAATAAAGAAATAAAATGAATGAAATTTCTAAAATAAAATAGCCTATGTTACTCCATACAACATTAGCTATCTACGTAAGTGAAAGTCCCGTTAAATTAAAAGTCAAAGTTTCAAAGATAAGCAAAACCAAAAATACAGACTTTTTTTAACTGCGGTTTTAAGTACCATATATACTATCACGTGAATTTAGTGAAAATCTATTAATATGAAATTATAACAGATATTTAAATTTTATTTATTTATCATCATCATCTGCTTCTTCCTTATCCCATTTATTTGTGGTCGTCGTAATATGTTTTTCGCTTCCGTTATTTACTACTTTTCTTACCATATCATCTTTCACACAGTCCATCTGTCTCTTTTTCGGCCTTCCTCTGCCCTTATAACCATCCACATTCATATGTAACATCTTTCTTAAAATATTATCCTCGTTGCTACGCATTACATGTCCATACCATGATAGACGATTACTCTTCAACCTCTCTGACACCGGCGCCACTTTCATACTACCATTAGAGGTAGTATGTATTCATTCTTTATCTTATCCATTCTTGTCATACCACACATCCACCTCAACATTCTCATTTCAGTTGCATGCAGTCGTCTTTCATCCGTCGCCTTTACGGGCCAGCACTCTGATGCATACAAGACAGCAGGCCGGATCATGGTCTTGTAAATTTTCCCCTTAAGCTTAAGGGGAACACGCGAGTCACACGTCGTTGCCGTAACCTGCCGCCACTTCATCCATCCAATTTTATTTATTTATATAGATATATAAATAGTTTATATCTCAAAATAATCTCGAAAATTATTACAATAGTAATCAAAAGTATAATACATTATACCTTCACGCGAGTTATAACAAATGGGGTAGCTAAGATAGGGTATTCTCAACTAACAATTCCTTTGTGTAAATATATAACTAATATATACATACAAATTACCCATTACCAACAAAACACTGTTGAATACAAATGTGTGTATTATGCGGGGATCGAACACGCGACCATCAGAAGGTGAGGCAGTATGTTAAACAGCCAACCACGAAGGTCATTAACATTAATAAAACACCTATTATATTCATGACTAGCTGATCCCGTGACTTCGTCAGCTTGCAATTTAACTTTATTTTTCTAAAATAAAAGCAGCCTAAGTTAGTTCTTATTACATCAGCTACTTGCCAATAAAAGTCCCGTCAAAATCGGTCCAGCCATTTCAGAGATTAGCCGGAACAAACAGACAGACAGACAAAAATTGGAAATATGTTATTTTGGTGTATATACAGTATTTATATTCATATGCATGTAGTAAAAAACGGTTATTTCAATATTACAAACAGACACTTCAATTTTATTTATATTTATAGATTATTTATTTTAGTCGTCCAGTATTGTCTGTAAGTTTTCTTTCCATATTTTGCATACAGTTCGTTCCAGAGTGCGAGCGAGCGGCGGTCCCAGATGGGCCCGGTGCTGAGCTGTGCGTCGATGATGAGAGCTGTCGGCTCGGAGCCGCCGCTCGCCGGCCAGCGCACCGGCAGCAGCGGCGACCGCGCCGGAGTCGGGTCACTGCAAACCAGACAATATTAAAAAAAAAATCTTCCCGCGTACACTTAGATATTGGAATGAACTTCCTGCCAAGGTCAATGTGTCACGAGATTTAAACATGGGGTTTTTCAAGAAGGGTATACGCGCACGTGACACCCCTGGTGTCTCAAGCGTCTATAGGCTACGGTAACCATTTACCATTAGATTGGCCGTATGCTTGTTTACCACCATCGTAGTATAAAAAAAGTGAAAAATTAAGCAAGGCAGTGTTACCTGTTACCAACAGCCAGAGTTACCTTGTGAGCACATCTCAGATCACAATATCTAAGTGTTTATATTAGTTGTCTAGCATCCATAATACAAGCTCTGTATAGTTTAGAACTAGATGGCGCTGTGTGAATTGTCCTGGAACTTTAATAATAATATAATAATCACAGGAGAATTCACACAGCGCCATCTAGACCCAAGTTAAGCTAGTTAAAGCTTGTGTTATGGGTACTAGTTTTTTTTTTAAATACATACATATTATACACAGAAAACACCCAGACCGATACAAACAATCGTACTCATGAATACAAATGTTCGTGCCGTACGAGGAATCGAACCCGCGACCATCGGTCGTAAAGCGGTGTGCTAGACCGCTAGACCACCGAGGTCGTCATATTAGAGTATTGGCAACTATTTCCTCCTGTTTGAATTTAAAAAAAAAACAGACAATTGTAGTTACCTGTACTTCGCAAAGTTAGTCCACATTGAGACCATACGGTTGATCATATTCCTTTCCAGATACCTCAATGGCAACGGAAATGAATGTGGCTTGAAAAGATAGAAGAGTTCGTCAGCGTGAGATGCTCCAGGCTTGTCCCATAAATTCATGGAAATTTTCGCCATGTTTATATAACCATTGTACTTGAAGACGTAATAGTAAACGGGTTGGTCACTTGTCTTCTGATACAGCTCCGAGAAGACAGCGGAAGGATATTTAAAGTGTACATCAGAGTAGTAATCTACCATATCCATGACATAATCATCTTTCCCAGAAGAGAAATAATGTCCCATAACCTTCTCTGCGGTTTCATTCCTATCAAAGTCAGTGAGAAATTCCAAATCTGGTTGTAACGGCATGAAAATCAAAGTGGGAGCTACGTTTTTCAGACTCGTCCCGTAATCCATAGCAACGAAGTAAATACCTTCATTATCATTAACTCCTATTATCATAGGAACTTTGGTATGGTTTCCAGACTTTATAATGTCCATGGGATACTCTGTTAGCATCGGTTCCACGCTTGGTATACTTTTTTCTACACAGGGTACAAACAAAGTTTCCGCAGTTATAGAAACTTTATGTTCTAGGTATACTATGGCATTAATTAGTTCTTCAGCTGATTTATTTGCAAGTATACTGTAAATTTCATAAGGATTTTTGGTATCGTATCCAAATTCTTTGACTAGAGTACTGGCTGTTTTCAAAGGGTCGTGTTGCAGACCCCATGGGACAATGGGTGAGCCGCTTTGCAATATAACCTTATGAAAAAGTCCTTTCGCTGCTGGGGACAGGAGAAGGAATGAAACAGATGCCGCGCCGGCACTTTCGCCGAACAAAGTGACCTGATTTGGGTCTCCTCCAAAAGCTTTAATGTTTTCTTGAATCCATTTCAAAGCGGCCACTTGGTCTTTAAGTCCAGCATTTCCTGGTGCCTCTTTTATACCTAAACATAAAAATCCTTCGATATTGAGCCTGTAATTGATAGTTACGAAAACAATATTTCGATCCACAAAGAAATCTGGTCCGTATAAGGATGGACCTCCCGTGCCCATCAGAAAACATCCTCCGTGGATGAAGACCATGACAGGCAGTAATTGATCAGGTTCAGCGTTGGCTGGTGTGTATACATTTAGTTTGAGGCAATTGGTGGTGCCCATAATGATGGAGCCTATAGCCTTTTGAGGACATGAAGTATTTATATCGACAGCGTCAAATATTCCTTTCCATCTCGGCGGTGGGAGCGAGGCCTGAACAAAAATGAGATAAGATATAAAAAGATTTATTACACGAAAATTATGTACAATGTCTTCTATGTCTATGAGGTTCTACGTCCTCGTATCACCTATTTCTCTTGCTAAGCAGCTTGCTTTGTTAGCTTTGCTTCCAGATTCGATTCAGACTCGATCCATTGGCTTTGCGACGAGATATTGCATCTCTGTGCATTTTCTACCGCATATATCACGGGGAGTGTTCTGAAGAATTGTTCGGATTAATACCAGCTGCTGAGTTTCACCACCTTACCACCCGCCAGAAACTGAAATACCATCCTAAACATCTGGATGAATGGCGGTCTTCCACAGTGCGGTTTTCTAGAAACTTTTTGCCTCGCACAACCACATTGTGGAATCACCTTCCAGCAATGGTATTTCCGAACCGATATGTTATTGAAACCTTCAAGAAAAGAGCTTATTCCTTTTTAAAAGGCCGACAACGTACTTGCAATTCCCCTGGTATTGCGGGTGCTCATGGGCGGCGGTAATCACTTACCATCAGGTGAGCCGCATGAAATTTGTGATATGGGTGGAGTGATGGATATCTACCTTGTTACTCATGTCTATGGACCACGATGCCCATTCCATGTATATAAAAAATGTCTATAAAGACGTATCGTCAATTGTATATGTATCGACTATGACATAAGTTTAGACAATGACAAACAATTATTTTGGTGGTTATTTTAAGCGAAAAATTATATACGTAATTGATCTTTTTTAACGCGAACGACGAAATTGTGAGAATTTACTAAAATTCTTTCTCACCTTTGCCTCTGAAATGTTTTACACGTGTAGGTACATACGGAAAAGTGACGTTGGTACTGATATTATTATATTTACCTAAAACATTTACATTTTTGACTGTCATTAATTATTTATATACATTTCTTGTAGGTTATATAATTTTTCTTTAATATATTAACTCTCGATCATATCAGATATATATTTTTACATAAATAAACATATGTCATTTGACGTACGATTATTGTAGCTTTATAAATTTATAAGGCAATATTATTTTATATTAAATTAGATTTTATATTCTGGACAAAATCGTAATCACATATTATTAATATTTTTGAAGATTAAAACAATATATAAAAATAAATGAACAACATTTCCTTGGAAGACACAACATCTACCGTTCCATCCGAGCTATTCTCGGAAATTCATTCTGGCCAGTAGAGTCAAAATATATGCAATTTAGAATATCACATCTATTATTTTGATTTAACAAATTTTTATTATGTTATTGGCCAATGACCACCAATTTACAAAAGAAGTTAAAGAAATTTTTAGACTATACATTAAATATAAATAAATATGACATTTTTTGTAAAAATGTCACCATTCAAGGGGTAAAGTAAAATAGCAGATAATAGTTTTTATGGAAATCAAATTTGAAGCTAGAACGATGAAACTTTTTCATTCGCTTTTTTGTCAAAAGTTTAATAAATCATTATCATTAAGTCTGTCTCACTTAAATGCCAAAATTACTGTACTGATTTAAATGAAGTTTAAAATCTAGATTGAGAAAGGACAAGTTACTTTTTAATCCGAAAAAGGGTTATAAGAGATTGTTATATATAAGTATCGTCATTTTTAAAGGTCATTATTTTTTGCGTATTGATTAAATATAATTAACTATTATTAAATGAAAATTATGCAAGTATTGACATTTTTTTCAACTACTTATTTTTTAGGCTGTTGAGAAAATATTAGTACCTACCTTTTTTTAAATCTACGATGAAACTTTTTTATTGGGTTAGATTATTAATATATATATTTTATTAGTTGTCACTATTTTACGCGGACGAAGTACAGCTAGTTATTTAATTTCTTGTTGACTCTCGATCATATCAGATATATATTTTTACTTATCAGACGTACGTGTAGCTATAGGAAAATATTATTAGATTTCATATTCTAATATCAACTTATAACAAAATAAAGAGCGAAGTCTAATTCAAAATATATTTTTAAAATGTATGTATATTTAGGTTATTTTGAATCTCTTTTAGTTAATTATCATAAACTATTATTAAATAACAATTAGCTGTCTTTGAACTAGATAATTTTACCGTTTCTGTCTTTATTCTACCGTTTCTGTCTATATTCTATTTCTTAGCTGGACAAACAAATAATACTGTCCAAGCAATTCTGGATTGTAGATTGTACTATACTGGACTTTTTTTTTATTTATTTTATTTGTTTCACTGACATTATTATTATTATTATTTTTTATTAACATGTATTGACTTCAGCTGCGATTTGATACAGCAGAAGTTTTCGTAGGGCTAGTTGTGTTTCACTAGGTGTTTATCATATATATTTATATAGATGACTCACATACATATTTACATTATTTATATAATAAATAGTTTATGTTTATATAATATTATATTTTATGTATTTACGCATTTATAGTCTTATGTGTTATTTATCTTTTTTAAATTAATCACACTTTATAAATATTTTTCACTTTCCATAATTTTATTCATACAATATCTTAAAAATGCAAAGTTGAAGAGAATCTATACGAAAAGAGCAACAGGTAAGTTTTTTGTTCATTCTTCTTAGTCGTTTTGACATTTCAGAATAGAATAGAATAGAAAATCATTTATTCAAATAAACTTAATTTAAGCACTTTACTTACTTACATACTTACTAAGCACTTTTGAATAGTCATAAGAAATTGTTTTTTATCTACCACTCGTTCGGAAAGCTGTGTCATCACAAGAAGAACGAGCAAGAAACTCTTTTAAATAATTGTTGTAAGTTTACATTTACAAGTCGAAACGTGTGAATAAAAACTACCAACAAGCACTAATTTTTTGGGTCAAATATAAATATGCAATAAGATTAAATCAGTCGTAGTGATAAGAGAAGACTACTCCCTGCAAGCAGCACCCGTTCACGAGTATGACGGATGAGCCAGCCATCACTGCGCTATTTTATTTATTCAATAACTAAATATTACTTATATTTGACTAAAGTTTTTTATATTTCAATTCTTCTTTATACTAATTGGTAAGTATAAAAAAGAATTGAGAGATAAAAAAACAATTATTCGCTTATTACGATGATAAAGTTGTTAGTCGTTTATAGGTGTTTGAAGATGGTATCACCTGGAACCGGTTGGTGTGGTCGACGGTGGCGTATGGTATGCCGAGGTACTGGTGGTAGGTGCCGTCGGCGCTGAGTGACCCGCGCACTCGCCCGCTCCATGTGTTCACCACCGGCGACCGCTGCTGCACCAGGTTGGCCGCGATCAACGATGTCAGCGCCACCCACTTCCACATTGCGGCCCACCTGACCACTGACCGACCAAAGACATAAAAAAGCCATATAAAATTAGTCTCCGAGTATGAAACTACTCTTTAAGTTAGGTTAAATATATTACAATTGTATTAACTTGCCCTAAGAGGCTAAAATATAGCTACCAGGAGTTTGTTGCTACTGAAGTAGATGCCGGGGCAAAAGGGTTCGATCTGAGGCCCCAACCTACATTCCCTGGGGGGAAAGGGGATTGTTAGTAATAAGATCATCAGTGTACACTGATGATCTTATTGCTAGCAATGTACCATGTCAGGTTGACCTCCACGCGGTCCCCCCTGGATAAATCTTGTTGAATTTATCACGATGGGCTAACTGACCTGGCCTCATCCTTATCTTATCATCCTCCACTGGTTCCCCGCCAGCGTAAACCGTTAGCCCAGGTGGGTGCACCATTCCATTATCATCCATAAAAAGAACCTACATTCCCTTGAGAGTTTAAGGACAAAAAAAACTTCAAACCTTAGTCCTCAAGTATGGCACTACTTCCTAAGTTAGCTTAAGTTTACTTTAATTATATCTCTGTTAGTTTTCAAGTAACCAACCTTAAGAGGCTTAAACCCAGCTACCCGGGGGTTGTTGATCTTGAAGTAGATGCAGGACGTCGTTCCGAGGCCTCAACCTTCACCCCCCTAGGGGGGTGCGGATGACCAGAGTCAGTCAGTTAGTTGATCGCTCCCGTACTCACAACATCACACACTTTTTGCACGAAAAATAGCGCTGTTTTCAGAACTGCCATGAATTTTTAACCTCTCTTCTTGACTTCACTGGTTTAACAGATTTAAATGACTAAGGTATAATATTAAATATTCCTCGTATTGTAATAGGTTTTGTTACGTCATTAAAAAACATGTCTGCAATCGAAATACAGCGATGTTTTGAGATAACTACGAGTACTTATTGAAAAGAGCAACACGCATTCTGAATGAGTTGTAGAGTCTAGAAACTATTATGTGACTGGTAAAAAATGCCTACATTAAGTTGATTTGAATAAAAATTATTTCTATTTTTATTTGTTTACCTCTATCTACATATAGTATACTTTAACTATTGCCTATATATATGAATAGACACAATATGGATATCTCTCAAGCGTTGCCATCCTTGAGGAACTAAGGCGTGATGATTCTAGATATAGACTCAATTTTTTTTTCTAGAAAGTTTTTGCCTCGCACAACCACATTGTGGAATCACCTTCCAGCAATGGTATTTCCGAACTGATACGATATTGAAACCTTCAAGAAAAGAGCTTATTCCTTTTTAAAAGGCCGCCAACGTACTTGCAATTCCCCTGGTGTTGCGGGTGCTCATGGGCGGCGGTAATCACTTACCATCAGGTGAGCCGCATGCTCGTTTGTCCCCTGTGCTATAAAAAAAAAAGGATAGAAATAGAAATAATCTTTATTCAAATAAACTCATTACAAGCACTTTTGAATAATCATATTTTGTTTCTACCACTCATTCGGAACGCAGATTCATCACAAGAAGAATGAGCGAGAAACTTTTGCAGTTTTTTTACGCTTTATATTATATTATATTATTCTTATTATAAATATGACAAAACTAGTTTAAGGGGTTTTGTTTGTACAAAGTCACGGAATTGTACAAGCTAAACTAAGTGATTTTACCTAAATGTCGTTTAACTAAAGTTAGTAATTCGTTTTATGGCAATTGCGTAAGGTTTTACAACAAAGTACCAGAGTCTGTTATAAATCTGCCTGAAAAAAGATTCAAATGTCATATAGAACACTTCTTTTGCAAAAAAGCTTACTATAAAATTGGAGAATTCGTTAACGATAATAATGTTTTTATTGAAAAACTTAAAATCCATAGCACTGACAATATTATCTGATTACACTAATAATGAGAGCGTAGCGATTTCTATGTTGATTATCGCATGCCTCTTACTTGTTATACTGTAATTATTTACATAAAAAAAACATCTGTTCAAAAGAACAACACAGAAGTTTCTTGCTCAATATGTGATGAATCTGCATTCCGAATGAGTGGTAGAATCAAAATATGACTATTCAAAAGTTACAAGCACTTTTAAATAGTCATATTTTGATTCTACCACTCATTCGGAATGCAGATTCATCACATAATGAGTTTATTTTAATAAAGATTATTTCTATTTCTATTTCTTTCTAGCTGTATTCAGAGACGTTGCGTCTCTCACTCAAATGCGATAGCAATATTTTCAATCGAAAATTTCCCGTAAATATTTACGTTCCGCTATGCTCAACTTTCTCTATTATTACAGTAAATATAGAGGTATTTTTTTTCATTATTCTGAAAATTCATTATAATAACAATGTTTTGCACATTTGTCCATATTTTTATACTGGATTGGATTGTTCATGCAAATGGGGTAGAAAGATAGGTTCTTTATTTGTGAAAATTGATATTTCCAGCTACGTGTAATTACATGCAATTACATACATACATAACCAGAGATAAGACAATATGATAAAATAAACTTTTTAATGAAATTTTAACCTAGTTTTGTTGTTTGCGAACAAAATAACTTTATTTTTTGTTCTTTGCAATAGCATATGCTGGTGGTCACTCTATTCTCCCAAATTTGAATTTTAATTACTGTGTATTATTGTAAACATGTACAATATTTATTTAAAAAGAATACGAGTTGAGTTTCTTGTCAGTTCTTCCCATCTCCAAATCATTCCGAACTGACGGTAGATTTGACATATCATAAGAGTCCGTAATGGACCTACACGAATAAAGATATTTTGAATTTGAATTATAATATAACATACTTTTTCAAAGAAATTATAACTAGTCTGAAATATTTATATTAATTATACCTTATCCTATGGACAAATTTTCATTGAGTTTTTGTTGAAATTTTTATATTAGCTAGTTTTGGATGGAGAGAGGTAAGAGATATGTAGCCTCAAAATCAGACTGTCTCAAGGGAATTTATTGTTGTATTTTATTATATTTGTACAGGTAAGAGAAAAAAAAGATTTGGTATACCGAGAAAATATATATTCGGACTAGCTTTTGCCCGCGGTTTCGCTCGCGTTAATTTATCCCCTTATGGGTGTAATTTATTACAAGTGTAATTTATCAAAATCCTTTCTTAGGGGATGCTTACGTCATAGTAGCTTTATGCATACAAAGTCTCAGCCCGATCGGTTTAAAATTGACAAAGTTTCATACAAACTTTCATCCCCTATTTTATTCCCTTGGGGGTAGAATTAATCAAAATCCTTTCTTAGCAGATGCCTACGTCATAACATCTACCTGTATGCCAAATTTCAGCCCGATCCGTCCAGTGATTTGGGCTGTACGTTGATAGATCACTATGTCAGTCACCATTGAGTTATATATTTAGATAATTTTATTTACTATGTGTGTATAATAAAGAATAATGTCTTGTTGATAGATCACTATATCAGTCAGTCAGTCACGTTTGAGTTATATATAGATAGATAGACTACTGACATATTAGAATTAAGTGTAGTAACAATAAAATGTACAATAAAAGGAATTACAGAAATTAAATATAAATTTAGAATACAAAATACATTTGTTATAAATACATTATCCAGTTATAACGTTTATCATGATACAAACAAACCTACTTATAACTAAAACGTGGTATTGTTAAAATTCCGAAAGGTGTAATGAAAAAAAAAATTCAGTAATTAATTTGAACAATTAAGATGTAAATAATTTTCCATCGAGTTTAGAACCGCGACAATCTGTACATATAAATAAAATTGGTGTGTCTGTTTGTAATGTTGAAATAACCGTTTTTTACTACATGCATATGAATATAAATACAGTACATACACCATCGGTCGGTCCGTTTGTTCCGGGTAATCTCTGAAATGGCTGGACCGATTTTGACGGAACTTTCTTTGGCAGATAGCTAATGTAATAAGCAGTAACTTAGGCTTCTCTCATTTTAGAAAATAAAGCTAAATTTCACGCGAACGAAATCTCGGGAACAGCTAGTAGTTAATATAAACTGTAAATATGTTAACTGGGACTTGGTTATTTCTCGTCTCGTCTTTAACAGATGATAGGGTGTAAAAATTATACATTTTGCTTGTATTTATTTGGTAAATAATTACACAGTATAAAACGAAGTCGCTGTCGCTGTCTGTCCGTCCCCATGTATGCTTAAATCTTTAAAACTACGCAACGGATTTTGAAGCGGTTTTTTTAATAGATAGAGCGATTCAAGATGAAGGTTTATATGTATAATACATGTACACCCGTGCGAAGCCGGGGTGAGTAGCTAGTATAATATAAATTATAATTTCTTTTACAAATTTATAAATGTTCTTATAGTATGCAAGAGTGTTCATCATTTTGTATTCCTCCTTTTGGTTAATATACTTACTGAACAAATTTATGTTAACTTGTGTAAGTAAAACAAACGTAAAAGATTCTGCCGTGCATTTTTAATGAGAAAATCTATAACTCATTCACAACCGAGCAGCCAGAATCATTGGTAATCAACGTCTATGTGACAGACTCGACCCATTGGCTTTGCGGCGAAATATTGCATCTCTGTGCATTTTCTACCGCATATATCACGGGGAGTGTTCAGAGGAATTGTTCGGATTAATACCAGCTGCTGAGTTTCACCAACGTACCACACGCCAGAAACTGAAATACCATCCTGATCATCTGGATGAATGGCGGCCTTCCACAGTGCGTTTTTCTAGAAACTTTTACCAGCACACCGCTCGCCATCGACAGGGAATTCATCCCCACACGCTGGAACCTAAGTGGTCTCGGACAGTGCAGTTTCAGAGGAGTTTCCTCCCGCGTACACTTAGATTGTGGAATGAACTTCCTGCCGAGGTTTTCCCACGAGACTACAGCATGGGGTTTTTCAAGAAGGGTATATTAAGGTTTCTTAAGGGTCGGCAACGCGCACGTGATACCCCTGGTGTTTCAGGCGTTCATAGGCTACGGTAACCGTTTACCATCAGATGGGCCGTATGATTGATAGCCAGCATCATAGTATAAAAAAAATATTATTCTCAATAACCCATTAACAGAAGAGGCCATCAATATAGTCAAATAGGACATTAACGAAAGAAATGTATCATAATTTAGATATTTTGTATTGTTGCACCGATGGCATATCCTTCGGAATAAACCCTCAATATTTTATATAAAAAAATAGCATTTTGCTCGGGGTCATCGAGACACATAGCCTGAAAGTGGGACTGTCCTGCCTAATGTGTCACGTATGGTCATATTAGTCAACCAGGCGGCATGCTATGGGCTGTAAAATATAAAAACGAAACTTAAATACATGTTTTTATTATCATAAGTTTATTAAAACAACACTATTAGACATATACCCATCGATTTACAAAAATAAAAACTAATAAACATTTCGTCTCCTTTCAAAATACTTTTATAATTTAAAAAATAGTGATTAAAAATTGTGATACATAGTTAAAATTTAGATTATATGCATAAGCAAGTTAATATATAATACATTACAACACAACACGTTATAACTATAAGAAGAGTTGAGTTTCTTTTCAGTTTCTTGTCAGTTCTTCTTAGCTCGAATGCACTCCGAACTGACGGTAGATTTTAACATATCATAAGCCTGTAATAGTAGGTCTATTACAGTAGTCTTATGATATATGAATAAAGGTAATTTGATTTGATTGATTCATTGAAGAACCTTGACAATATCTACTTTTATATATATATAAGATTTTTGATTCTCACACAATACTAACATTTCTATTTGCTCATCCTTCATTATACTCCTGAACAGGTGCTGCTTGTGGGGACTGGTCTGTTCGGGTTACGAACACTGATTAGACTATTTGCCTTAGCACATGCTGGTGGTCACTCTATTGTCCCAAATTTGAATTTAAAAATGAATCTGTATTATTGTAAACATGTATAACAAATATTTGAAAAGAATACGAGCTGAGTTTCTTGTCAGTTCTTCTCATCTCGAAATCATTCCGAACTGACGGTAGATTTGACATATCATAAGAGTCTGTAATAGACCTATATGAATAAAGATATTTTAAATTTTAAATTATTGTGTGTATATATCAATATAAATAATATTGTGTGGGAATCGAACGGTGACATTGTAAGTAATGCAATTAGCATACAAGAGATTATTTTACCACAGAGATATTTCCATATATATATATATATGTTGCCAGCCATATTGCCAACCATATGTAGAAATAATATAAGATGAATTATTGTAATTGTTCTAAGTGTGTATGTATGTATATATGTATATGAGTGTGTGTGTGCATATGTGTATGTATATATATATATATATATATATATATGTGTAAAGTGTACAATTGTCAAATGTGTATATGTAATAATGGTTGACAATAAATGTTTTTCTTTCTTTCTTTCTGCATATATATATAAAAATAGAGTTTTTATTTTTAATACATTTGTATCTTATATTAATACAATTGCTAATATCTATATTAATGTTTGTTACTTGTTAATTTCATGTGACTGTCTGTACGTATGTAAATTATAAAATACCTTACTGTTTAAGACTAGAAAGACTATCACCTGAAATAAAATATTTTTGGTAACATTACATTTTTTTATTTCCACACCTCCTTCCCAGGAAAATATCATAAATAATAAACACTTCCGTAATAAACCCTATTCTATTTATACTTATTTCATGCATTTTTTTAATAGATGATAATGTAATGGTACCCGCCTGCGCTAACGGTATACGCTGGGGGGCACCAGTGGAGGATGATAAGATGAACATGAGGTCAGGTCAGTTTGCACATCGTGACAAATTCACCAGGAATTTATCACAATGGTTTCCGGAACCACAAGATGTCAACCTGACACGGTTCATTGTTAGATATGGGGTCGACAGTCCACATAACTAACGATGCCCTTCCCCCGGTTTAATGCATTTGTCACAATGGACTAATTGACTTTGTCACAATGGACTAATTGACTTTGTCACAATAGACTAATTGACTTTGTCACAATGGACTAATTGATTTTGTCACAATGGATTAATTGATTTTGTCACAATGGACTAATTGATTTTGTCACAATGGACTAATTGATTTTGTCACAATGGACTAACTGATTTTGTCACAATGGACTAATTGATTTTGTCGCAATGGACTAATTGATTTTGTCACAATGGACTAATTGATTTTGTCACAATGGACTAATTGATTTTGTCAGAATGGACTAATTGATTGTGTCACAATGGACTAATTGATTTTGTCACAATGGACTAACTAATTTTGTCACAATGGACTAATTAATTTTGTCACAATGGACTAATTGATTTTGTCACAATGGACTAACTGATTTTGTCACAATGGACTCATTAACCATTGCTTCATTATAAAAAAAAAGAATTATAAATTTTAAAAAATCTTAGCAATTTCTAACAATCTACTACATCGACTATATTATACTAAACTAGAGGTTCGTCCTGGCTTCGCATGGTTGGCATTTCTGCTCTTTTTGGATGAAATATTTTATATGTATTTTTTTTATACCTAAAGTTACATTATTTAAGTTTTTGTCGGGATACAAATTATTTTCTTGTGGTAAATATAGCCTGTGTTACTCAGGGATAATGTATCATTTTAATGCTGAAAGATTTTTTTATATTGGTCTAGTAGTTTTTGAGTTTATTTATTACAAACATACAAAATACAAATATTTTCTCTTTATAATATTAGTGTTCACTAGGCTACATGTTTTTCTGATGTATAAGTTATAGTACTGTAAAGTTTCATAAAAATTCGTTTAGTAGTTTTTGCATAAAAGACTAACAAACATCCAACTATCTGTCCATCCATGCTCACAAATTTTCGTATAACATTAGTAAGATTAGTGACTCTCCTTAGTTTCTATTTTGCCATTTATAAGATTTTCGTTTTAATTATTGCAGTGCCTTCCTATTTTATACCAATAACTCATGAAATTAATTAGTTACTTGCATGAAGTCAGTGTTAATATAAACGCGTCATGATTTCTAATAAAAAAAAATACCTGAATGTCTTAACTAAAGTTAGTAATTCGTTTTATGGTAATCGCGTAAGGTTTTATAAATACCAGAGTCTGTTATAAATCTGGCTGAAAAATTATTTAAATGTCATATAAAACACACCTTTGCAAAAAAGCTTACTATAAAATTGAAGAATTCGTTAACGACAATAATGTTTTTATAGAAACACTTAAAATCTATAGCACTGACAATATTATCTGATTACACTAATAATGAGTGCGTAGCGATTTCTATGTTGATTATCGCATGCCTCTTACTTGTTATACTGTAATTATAATATAAAAAAAAACATCTATTCAAAAGAGCAACACACAAGTTTCTTGCTCGTTCTTCTTGTGATGAATCTGCATTCCGAATGAGTGGTAGAATCAAAATATGACTATTCAAAAGTGCTTGTAATGAGTTTATTTGAATAAAGATTATTTCTTATTTCTTGTTCTAAATAAAATCATTGCATTGCACTATACAATGAAACGCCTGCTCAATTAGAAGTAGCAAATATTTAAGTTCTCAGATTAATATTATTTACAAAAATTTCAAGTGAACGGTGTTTGTCCCTGATGTAGTTTATAACTCTGTTATTTGTAAACACATTAACAAAAATATTTTTTTATTTGAAAGAGCTTACTTACAGATTGTCGTCTTTTATTTGCTTTTTTGAAGTATTTTTTTATGAAATTTGTAATATAACGTAAGAGTGGCCAGCCTACCGGCGTGACTCGAATTTTCGTTTTCTATCACCGGAGTGTCAGTCAGATATTAATTGATATATTTTAGCCTTATCCAAATCGAACCCAACACCTTTCAGTCTAAGTCGTTGCTACAATAATTTTTATATACTGGCTTTGACCTGATCCTCACTTTTCTTTACTATCTTTAAAACGTTTTGTTTCATACATTTTCTTATTTTATAAATGTCGTGTACCAAGTATCTTCAGTATAAACACTCCAACTCTATTTAGAACTAACTGTGTTATGTATATTAGAATTAACATGCTTATGGAAACCATAGACTTTTCTTCTATATTTCGTATAAGTGTCGTTCCAGAGTGCGAGCGATCGGCGGTCCCAGATGGGCCCGGTGCTGAGCTGTGCGTCGATGATGAGAGCTGTCGGCTCGGAGCCGCCGCTCGCCGGCCAGCGCACCGGCAGCAGCGGCGACCGCGCCGGCGTCGGGTCACTGCAAACCAGAAAACATACCAATAAAATCAAAATTAAGGATTCATTGGACTGTATTAGGATATTCACCTAGGTGAACTTTGCATTTTTTTTTAAATTATTCTACGTATGTATGTGTGCATACATATATATATGTAAAATGTACCTATGTCAAATGTGTTAATGTATATTTATATCAATAATTTTTCTTTTTTTCTTTCTTCTTTAGTGTATATGGGAACGTAGCTACCAATCAAATCAAAACAAATCATGGTTTCATTTGACTGGATTAGGAAATCCACCGAGGTGAACTTTGGAAAAGTTAACTGATTAGTCTATGTGTGAACGTAGCTACCAATCAAATCAAAACAAATCGTGGTTTCATTTGACTGGAATAGGAAATCCACCGAGGTGAACTTTGCAAAAAGTCAGATTGAATTTATATACAGAACTGTAGTGGGGAAAAACTGTATTTATATCTATTATCGCCTTGTCATTTGTGTACTATCTCTATTTTAGCTAAATGTGTATTTATGTATATTAATTTATATCAATTTATTATATATTAAGTATTGTATCATATCATAAATCGTGTACAACACGGCAATACACCACCCCAGGTCTTGTGCTGAAAAACAGCGTTGCAGCGCTCCAGCCGCTGCAGCATTATGCTGAGCACGGACCTATTCAGTGGATGCTTCGACAGACATACCTACACATGCACGCACACGCGCACATACGTAATTTGTGTACTGTTATTTGTATGTAATTGTTCGCACTATTTGTTATTCTATTTTTTGTTTGTTAATGTGTGTTTAATTTTCTACTGAATAAATATCATTTCATTTCAAAAAATAAAAATACAAAAAAAAAAATGTTCATAAGCGGCTAAAGGTTCATAATGTGCTACATCAATAAATTATTTTTGATTTGATAATATTGTTCATACGCTTACGATATTTCCGTTTATATAATGTATACAAATAAGCGGCTAAAATGTCCTACATGAATAAAAGATTTTTGATTTCATTTGATTTGATAATACTGTTGATTTGTTATACACTGTGTACCATTGTAAACAACCATTAAATAACTTTATAAAATTAAAATACAATTTCTTGTCTGCAAAAGTACAAATGAATAAATATTGGAAAACTGAGTCTTGTTTCACAAAGTTCACAATTACTGGCGTAACTTAACGAAGGTGAATCGAAAGCAGAAGGTTGTGTTGTTGCAATACTGCATGACATTGGTAATTTCAGTTAAAAATAAAACCAACTCGACGGGCGATAATTACCGAACAATTGCAATTTCCTTGTACTACAGGTATTTAGGTTTGTTCCGTATTCCGAACCTCCTTAGCCTAACCAGTATCACCGGCTTGATTATTGAAGCAAAGGGTGCTTGGTGATACTGGACACAAATAAAAACAAGTGGCCACTTAAACTTCGAAAAAATAATAAAAAAAACAATTGAAAATAATAACTGGAATAAAATGGACGCTCCGTATTTTTAACTATATAAAACAAGATAAATAATGATTTATTCGATATAAAAAATGAAAATAAAAAAAAAAAACAATTTTAACTATATAAAACAAGATTAATAATGATTTATTTGATATAATATAATTGTTTTTATGAAAATAAAAAAGAAACTGGAATACAAAGGACGCTCCGTATTTTTAACTATATAAAACAAGATAATTAATGATTTATTTGATATAATATAATTGTTTTTAAGGAAATAAAAAAGAAACTAGAATAAAAAGGTATTCTCTTACTAATATTATAAATGCGAAAGTAACTCTGTCTGTCTGTCTGTCTGTCTCACTTTCACGCCAAAACTACTGAACTGATTTAAATGAAATTTGTTACACAGATAGTCTAGACCTTGAGAAAGGACATAGGCTACTTTTTAATGCGAATAAAGGGTTGTAAGGGGTTGAAAAGGGAGATGAAGGGATATGTGGAAGAATCGTCATTTTTAAAACTAGAAATTTGAAATTTATTTTTAGGTTGTTCATTAAATACTATAAATAAATATGACTAGGTTTGTAAAATTGTTACCCTTAAGGGGGTAAAAAATAGGGGATGAAAGTTTGTATAAAAAGTCGTCATTTTTGAAGCTATAACGAGGAATCTTTTTCCTTATCTTTTGTCGCGTTTGTTGCCATCGCGTTTGGCCCCACGTTGGGCGCCACTGTCGCGTTTGTTATTGTTAAAAAAAAAAACAAATACGGCAAATTAAGTTTATAAAAAAAATGTATTCATAGTAAAATAAAAAAAAATAAAAGAATGGTTGTTTAAAGTCAGGGTTGGGTAAGCCTTGGGTCACAAAACATATAGTCCGCTCAGTCCAAGAATAAACACCACTATCCTCGGTCTCCTCGGTTTTCCAGCAATCCTCTCCAGCAAAACGGCTAAGTCGGTATGCAGTCTCACGAGTATATATATGTATATAGTTTCCAGTCGTCGGGTAGGTGGTTATATTATATCAATATCTACGGTGTTCCCAGTATGGGAACACTTTAAGATTCTATTTTCAATTTATATAAATATTTATAGTGAATTTAAATTCACTCGAAGAAAATAATTGCACACTGGCTGTAGTAGGTAGGTATATTAGCGTTAAGAACGGCGACGTATATGCGCTCGTAAGTCTATCACAGAAGTGAGTGCTGGTGAGGTGAGGCAGGGGGCAGCAAACGGACCACGGACCGGTTGTCGAGCGTTGCAATACAATAGACAACAAGTACCTGCTTGACGAACGCAATAACTATCATATTTGTATATTTAGCGATGCTACACTTTTTTGGGTTAGATTATTAAATATTTTTTCTATATTTGGTCAAGGTTACTACAACACGCGGACGAAGTCGCGGGCACAGCTAGTAACTATATAAAACAAGATAATTAATGATTTATTTAATATAATATAAATGATTTTTATAAAAATATACACTGTAGAGTGCGTGGCCACTAAACAGTACTACACATCGGGATGTTCCTGAACAAAGGTGAGTAAGTTTGGTGTTACATTGCTTACTTTGGGGTGTTCGGAGTGTGGAAGACGTTCTTCCAGGTCAAATCGTATTTCTTCTACCTTTTCCATTAATTATTTTCTTTTTAATAAATATAGTCCACTCTCTATTTTATTACTTTATAAGGATTCGAAATCCAACAAGGTTCAGGCATAGATTCTTGGTTGCTAACTGCAAATCGCTCAAAGTACTTATATACTTATTTCCGGAAAGTGTGTGTTTATATTTGACTAATATTATAAACGTGAAAGTTTGGTAGCATGGATGGATAAGTGGATGAATCTTTGCTACTCTTTCACGCAAAAACTACGACACGAATTTTGATGGAATAATCATCTCAGCCCGGAGGAAGTCCACTACTGAACACAGGCCTTCCCCAAAAATCTCCACGATGATCTGCCCTGCTTTGCTCGAAATGTAACAATACATCCTTACTTAATATTATAAATGCGAAAGTAACTCTGTCTGTCTCGCTTTAACGCCAAAACTACTGAACCGATTCAAATGAAATTTAGTATATAGATAATCTAGACACTGAGAAAGGACATAGCCTACTTTTTAAGAAGAAAAAAGGGTTGTAAGCGGCTGAAAGGGGAGATGTTTGAAGGTTGTATGGAAGTATCTTCATTTTTAAAGCTTGAAACTTATTTTTTAGTTTGTTGACTAAATGTAAATAAATATGACATTCAAAATTTGTATAAATTTTACCCTTAAGGGGAATAGAATAGAATAGAATAGAAAATCATTTATTCAAATAAACTTACATTGAAGCACTTTTGAACAGTCATTACATTTTTTTTTAATCTACCGCTCGTTCGGAAAGCTGTCTCATCACAAGAAGAACGAGCAAGAAACTTGCGTGTTGCTCTTTTAAATAATTTTATTATTACTTTACATTTTTAAGTTTAAGTGTGTGAATACAAACCACCAATTAGCACTAATTCAATTTAATACTAAAGAAAAAAATATTGAATACATAACCAACTGGTTAAACAATTAATAAGAGGAAATCAGTCATAGTGATTAGAGCAGACCAGTCCCTACAAGCAGCATCCGTTCACGAGTATGACGGATGAGCCAGCCATCACTGCGCTCGACCATATTTTAGGGGGTAAAATAAAATAGGGGATGAAATTTAAATTCCTCATTCGTGGTCTATTCTATGAGAACGAAGTCGCGGGCATATCTAATAGACTATAAATTTAATGTGGGTGAAACCACATGCCCAACTAGTAATATAACTAAATGAATTTACCGCTGAGGCCATCTATGGCTTACCGTGCGCCAACCAATAAATGTTATCATTTATGCGGGTAGTTGTTGCTTAGATTTTGTTACTATACCATCTGCATTATATATATAATCGTATATACTTTCTTTTATATTTCCACTACCATTTAATTTTGTATAATTTTATGCTTTTATTTCTCACGTTAAGTGAATTATTTGTAATTCTTAATGAGTATAAATATCTAAAACCTGAACCTAAATGAATTTATATATTTTTAAAGTTAAACGACTGATGAAAAGGAAGAGTTTAAAAATATGTAATTAGTTATATATATGGTGTTTATATGTATATTAGATACTTCCGAAGGCCAAAAGCAGCTCTTCCGACTAGCAAAAATGAGAGATAAGAGTACAAACGATGGAGTATATGTAAAATGTATAAAAGATGATAAAGGAAAGGTTCTAATGAAAGAAGATGATATAAAAGATCGATGGAAAAATTACTTTGAAAACTTAATGAATGAAGAAAATTCATGGAATAAATCGATAGGAGAGGAAAGAGTGAATGTGGGTTTAGTCAGAGAAGTAAGAATGGAAGAAGTAAAACAAGCTGTGCGAAGTATATGGTGTCGTTAATCTGTTGCGACGGTCACCATTTTCCATCGACTGAGCCTTCAACGGTAGTGGGTCAAGAGCAAGATGGCCATTATTACCGTACAATACACACAACAATGGGCAAGGTTGAAATAATAAATATTTAGAAGCCTATACTGGAATTACCCTTAAATAAATTCAAAACGTCTGTTAAATCATATTTACTGAGCAAAGTCTATTACTTATTAAACGATTACTTAAATGACAAGTGTGCAAGGCAATAGTTGGTTATTGGAGAGATTTTTATTTAATGTTAGACAGACCTATATAAATATACATTGTAAATAAACTACTTGTTATAAATAAGCTACTAAAAAAAGTAATTCAATTGAGTTTCTTGCCAGTTCTTCTTAATTGGATCTATATACTGAACTGGACGGTAGGGAAAATTTTATAATATAAAAAATTTTACGTTTATAAGCGGCTAAAATAGCCTACATGAATAAATGATTTTTGAATTTGGATTTGAATTGCAAAAGTGAAGTACTATTGTATACACTTACCTGTATTTAGCAAAGTTGGTCCACATAGTCACCATGCGTTTTATCATATCGTTCTCCAAATATCTGTGAGGCAGAGGAAACGAGTGCGGTTTAAACAGATAGAAAATTTCATCAGCGTGCGACGCTCCAGGCTTGCCGGCAAAATTAGAGATGACTTTTGCCATATTTATGTACCCATTATACTTGAATACATAATAGTAGATCGGCTGATCACTTGTCTTCTCATACTGCTCCGAGAAAATAGCAGAAGGAAACTTGAAGTGGACATCAGAGTAGTAATCTACCATATCCATTACATAATCATCTTTCTCAGATGAAAAATAATGACGTATAATCTTTTTTGCGGTCTCATTTTTGTCCAATTCCGTTGGGAACTCCAAATCTGATTGCAGCGGCTGGTATATTATAGTGGGATCTACTTTCTTGACACGTGTCCCGTAGTCTGCGGATACGAAGTAAATGCCCTCGTTATCGTTGACACCAAATATCATAGGTACTTTGGTATAGTTATTGGATTTGATTATGTCCATGGGATACTTTGTTATAATCGGCTCCACGCCAGGAATATCTTTCTCTATGCACGGAACGAACAATGTCTCAGCAGTAATGAGGTTTTTATGTTCGGAATATCTAATCGCATTTATCAGTTCACTAACCGTTTTATTTGATAATATATTGTATATCTCGTGTGGATCTTTGGTGTCGTATCCGAATTCTTTGACTAGAGTACTGGCTGTTTTTATAGGATCGTGTTGTAGTCCCCATGGTACTATAGGTGAGCCGCTCTGCAAAATTCCCTTATGAATCAGGCCTTTAGCAGCCGGTGATAAAAGAAGAAATGCTACAGAAGTTGCACCAGCACTTTCGCCGAACAAAGTCACTTTATTTGGATCTCCACCAAATGCTCTTATATTCTCTTGTATCCACTTTAAAGCGGCTACTTGATCTTTGAGTCCTGCGTTACCTGGTGCTTCTTTAATGCCCAGACATAGAAAACCTTCAACACTAAGTCTGTAACTGATTCCTACGTACACTATTCCTTGTTTTACCAAGAAATCTGGTCCGTATAGGTAAGGCGCACCAGTTCCGTGCAGGAAACATCCGCCATGAATGTAGGCCATTACAGGTAGTAGCTGGTCGGGTTTGGCGTTGGCTGGTGTGTATACATTCAATCTTAGGCAGTCTGCATCGCCAATAGTCAGACTGCCGATGACTTTTTGCGGGCACCATGTGTTTATATTGGTCGCTTCAAATATCCCATCCCAGCTCAGTGGCGGTAACGGGGCCTGAAATATAAATATGTTATTGATTGGTCTTACGAATATTACAAACGCGAAAGTTTCTAAGTATAGATAGATAGATGTTACTCTATCACGCAAAAACTACTGAACAGAGTTTGATGAAATTTTACAGTGATATAGCTTATACATCAGAATAACACAGGCTATAAATTTCATGTGCGTAAAACTGTGGGCACATTGGTGTATGTAAATAAAAAAGTAAGGAACCTGGAAATTGACATCCGGGCATCAGTGTTGTATATATATGATAAAAAAAACCGTGGGCACAGCTAGTTTATGATATGATTTTCATTCATCATCATCTAGTATTTAATGTTCGATGGGTTTTCATTGCTATATATTTAATGTAACAATGGGGCTTCTATAACAGAAAATAAATAGAATAGAACAGAAATATATTTCGTTGATTAAATATAAAAATTACATTTTTCAAAATTAGAAGCTACTATTGCCTCCTTTTATATAAGTTAATTAAATTAACCACGCCGTCTTAATCATTATCTAAATACTTTTGAAATGATATATAATACTTGTGTATATATTTTTGTTAAAAATTTAAAGGAAAAAATAATAATTTAAATAAATTTAAAAACTTTAAATGCTTGTATTGTAAAAAATGTACATTTTGTATAGTGCCATTTTTCTATTTAACCGACGATTTATTAGTCATACAAATGCTATATATAGGATGATGTATTCAAATATGTTATTGTTATATAATAATTGTTAAAATTTATTCGCTATAAGAATTTATAAATTTGCCCGTCCCTGTATCACATGAGTATTTAACAAATATTTCAAAAATTATGAATATAATTTTTCATAATGTAATTTCTATTCAATATAAACAATCAAATCATTCCTCTTTAATAATAATAACCAAGAATATAATTAGCTGACCAACTATTAGTTGACCTCGCAAATGTTGTTTTACCATGTGAATTAAAATCGCTATTAAAAAATAGGGGTTGACAGTAGAAGGGTGAAAATTTGGGGTCATATCTATTTCAAATGCATGCACACTATAAAAAAAAAGAAATGTTAAAAAAATAAACGTTACACCTAAAATTTTTTTTTAAATATATTTTTTGTGTTTTTCATGCTTCTAAGTGCCCTTATCACTTAGGAGTATAAAAATAGATAATAGCCGATTCTGAGACATATTGAATATGTAAAATTTCATAAAAATCGGTCAAGCCGTTCCGATGATAAATAACATTGTGACACGATAATTTTGATATATATAATTAAAGTTTTTAAGTAAATTAATATATGTTTATATATATATTAATTTACTATATAGAGACAAAAGAATATTTATGTGCTTTATTACGGGCGGATGCCGCATCGCGCCGCGGTTGGCGCGTACGCAAAATGTAACAGTAGGGTCAAGGTAAGCAAGTCAGTATGTACGATGTCATAATACATATATTGACACTGACATTGTTTGGCGCGGACCGTGACATTGTTAATTACGTAATTATCAATCTATTCAATCTATGATCAATCATTAAAATATGGTTGAGCGCAGTGATGGCTAGCTCATCCGTCATACACATGAACGAGTGCTGCTTGTAATTTTTTTATTGGGTTGTTTGAGCTATTGTCAGGTTTTTTTTATGGATGATAATGGAATGGAGCGTCTGCGCTAACGGTTTACGCTGGCGGAGCACCAGTGGAGGATGATAAGATGAGCATGAGGTCAGGTCAGTTAGCCCATCGTGACAAATTCACCAGGAATTTATCACGATAGTTTTCAAGGGGAACCGCGTGGAGGTCAACACTAACATGGCACATTGGTAGCTATGGGGTCATGTGTCCTGATTTCTAAGAATCCCCTCCCCCTTATTGTCAGGTGACTGTAGCACCTGTAACACTGCGACCTACATAGATCTATTGTGCTCGCCCTTTTCAGAGTTCGCTACCTAGACCCGTCAGGGACAAGAATTGAAGGATATTCTTAGGAGCGATGGTTTTTATCTCCTCGGGAAAGAGTGTAAACTTTCCAAAGGAGATATTTCGTTTATGCATGAGTAGGCTACAACCACATAGGATGTGTAGTGATGTTTGCTTTTCAGTTTGGCAAAATCTGCAGATTTTTGTTGCCTAGTTTAGCTATATGCTTGTTTAATTTGCAGTGTCCTATGAGGGGTCTAGTCATCATGCATATGTTGTTGTTACTCAATAGCAGTAGTCTATTGGAGTATTTGTTCGAGTAGCCTGATGTTAGGGCTTTTGAATGTACCAATCCTGGCATTTCCTGCAAGTGATTCAGTGCTGCTTGTAGCGACTGGTCTGCTCTAATCACTACGACTGACTCTTATATAGTTCTCACCCAGTCGATTGTATTTTAATATTTTCTCTATTTGAGTATATAATTGAATTAGTACTAGCTGGTAGTTTGTATTCAGACTTCAATTTAAAAATGTAACAACAAAATTATTTAGGGGAGCAACAACCAAGTTTCTTGCTCATTTTTCTTTTGATGAGACAGCTTTCCGAATGAGCGGTAGATTGAAAAAATGTGATGACTATTCAAAAGTGCTTCAATGGAAGTTTATTTTAATAAATGATTTTCAATTCTATTCTATTCATAAGATCCGGTGTATTTCCCTATATATCCGGTATCCTATTTTATATAGGACGACCTCGGTAGTCCAGTGGTTTGGCACCCGTACATACGATGGTTCGACTCCTCGCACGGTGCAAATATTTTTTTTTTATCGTTAATTTCAAACAAACAAACACAAACCAAACACAAACCTGTTTTTTTATTAAACTCTACGTTTAAAAGAAATTGAATTACTGTATCTATTAAATTTTAAAAACCCCAAAATGGAGTATGTCTGACAATAAATATTATTATTATTAAAATCCGTTCGCATTAATGTAGTCCATATAACAAGATAAATAAACAGAATAATTAGACAGTTCACTAATAACGCACCAGTATACTCATTATCACCTCATCACATCATGCATGACGACAGTGGTGAAGTGACATCGCGCTACAATTGTTTGTATTATATTACTAGTTATATTAATATAATATAATATAACTACTATCCACCCAGGTGATAATGATATATCGTTGCGTAGTATTAAAGATTTAAGCATAATCGACAGACTTTGTTTTATACTATGTGATAATGATATATCAGGACAATCACAGCGTTATCTAGTCCCAAGGTAAGCAGAGCTTGTGTTATGGCTACTAGACAACTGATATAAATACTGAGATATATATTTTTTGTAAATACATATTATACATTGAAAACATCCAGACCGATACAAACAATCTTACTCATAAATACAAATGTTTGTACCGTGCGCGGAATTGAACCCGCGATCTCCGGACGTAAAGCGGTATGCTAAACCGCTAAACCACAGAGGTCGTCAAAAATTATTTAGAATAATGTAACCAAACATTGCTCAATCATTTTGTTCACAGTCACAGTATTGTAAGACGCTTGATGCTGCAGACTTCGAATTCGCATTGCATAATCAGTTTTAGTGTTGATAGACAGGGCCGGATTGATTAAGTAGTCAACTACTTAGGGGCCCCGCATAACCTAGGGGCCCCTAGGCGGTTGCATACTTAAGTATAAAAGAAATATGATCTTTGAAAAAAATTATAACTCCTTTTTAATTAGCATATGGTACAGACAAGCTTGTGGTAGATGGTAAGTGATCACCCCCGCCCATGAGCAACAACACCAGGGGAATTGCAAGTGCCTTGCTGGCCTTTTAAGAAGGAATAAGCTCTTTTGTTAAAGATTTCAATATAGTATCGGTTTGGGAATACCATTGCTGGAAAGTGATTCCGTACTGTGCTTGTGAGCAGCAAAAAGTTTAGGGGAAAACGTGTGTTGGAGGACCGTCTTTCATCCAGATGATCAGGATTGTATTTTAGTTTCTGGCGTGGCTCATAGCTTATCTTTGCATTGAATTCTAATCATTGCCTTGTTTTTATCCCATTATTTGTGATCGGCGCAGTATGTCATTCTCTTCCAGTGACCTCTGTCGGTCGTCATATCTGAGCATCCTCTCCTTTTATTCATATCATCATTCACACAATCCATCCATCTTTTTTTAGCATTGAATTATACAATACGCTTATGTATTATATTTTGAGGACGGATATTTATAGGACTGCTCTGTTCCGGTTCCGAATACTGATTAGACTATTTCTTTTGTAATAGCATATGCTGTTGGTCACTATATTCGCCCAAATTTGAATTTAAAAATGAATCTGTGTTATTGTAAACATGTACAACATTTATTTGTAAAGAATACGAGCTGAGTTTCTTGTCAGTTCTTCTCATCTCGAAATCATTCGAACTGACGGTAGATTTGACATATCATAAGAGTGTGGAATAGACCTACATGAAGAAAGATATTTTGAATTTAGATGTACAACGTCATCTAAGGCTCTATGCTCTAAGGTACGGCCAATTAGGGTCCAAGTCACTACTCTTTATGGTGGTCTTGTTACTGATATGGTTTTATAGACAATAAATAAAGTTATAATTGCTTAATATCGACGCATGTTGCTTGTTGATGTAATCCTTACTCCTTAGTAATATTATAAATGAGAAAGTAACTCTGTCTGTCTGGGTGTCTAGCATTGACGACAAAACTACTGAACCGACCAGTGTTCGAATGACATATTTATTTATATTTAATCAACACCCTAAAAAATAAGTTTCAAGTTTTAAAAATGACGATACTTCCATGCAACGCTTAATCTTCTCTTTCAACCTCTTAAAACCCTTTTTTCGCATTAAAAAGTGGCCTACGTCCTTTCTCAGATTGGATGCTTCCATTACAACCCTTCATCTCCTCTTTCCAACCCTTACAACCCTTTTTCGCATTTAAAAGTAGCCTATGGGTCTAGACCATTTGTGTACCAAATTTCATTTAAATCGGTTCTGTAGTTTTGGCGTATAAGCGAGACAGACAGACAGACAAAGTTAATTCCGCATTTATAATATTAGTAAGTATAAAATAATATTTAGCGACATCTATTCAGTTTTTATTTTAAACAGGGAGTGGTTCCGAGGATTGCATTTACTAGGGGCCCCGACATGGTCAATCCGGCCCTTATCCGGCCCTGTCCATAGGTCATATTTTATTATAATTTCTGTATATTCTATAATATTCTACGAAGGTTAATAGATACAAATCTAATAGTGGGTTTAGTTATTGATGAGTTGTGATATTGTGTTAAAAATAGGCATGCATAGAAATTTAGAAACTATTTTTAAATCTACATTAATCAGATCTAGCTATGGGTACTAGACAACTGATATGAATAATTAAGTATATTTTTAATTCATACATAATATACATAGAAAAAAACAATCGTACTACTATTTGAGGAATCAAACCCGCGACCATAGGAAACAAAGCTGTCTAGACCACTGAGGCAGTCAAAGTGATGCGTGAGTGAATTTACAGAGGACAGAGGCAGTTTAGTCTTTACAGAGGTACCATGGGAGTTACAGAATAAAAGAAACAATGAGCATCACCTGGAACCGGTTGGTGTGGTCGACGGTGGCGTATGGTATGCCGAGGTACTGGTGGTAGGTGCCGTCGGCGCTGAGTGACCCGCGTACGAGACCGCCCCGCGTGCGTACTGCTGGTGACCTCTGCTGTATCAGGCCGGCCGCGATCAGCCACGCGAGCGCCGCCCACTTCCTCATCGCGGCCTCTGGCTATGGTCCGAAGAGATAAAATAAAAAAAATAAAGAGAAAAATCTTTAAAAATTTGTCAAAGTATTACTTAAGTGCTACCGTCCAAAAATATAAATAAAAAAAAAAGATTTTTTTTTAATTACTCAAAGTATGACACGACTTCTTAAGTTAGGTTAAGTTAAACAGTTGGCGATCTCGATCAGCCACGCCAGCTTAGCACATTTCCTCATCGCGGCCTCTGGCTATGGTCCGAAGAGATAAAATAAAAAAAATCTTTAAATTTTGCCAAAGTATTACTTAAGTGCTACCGTCCAAAGAGATAAATAAAAAAAAAAGATTTTTTTTTAATTATTCAAAGTATGACACGACTTCTTAAGTTAGGTTAAGTTGAACAGTTGGCGATCGCGATTAGCCACGCCAGCGTCGTACGCTTCCTCATCGCGGCCTCTGCCTATGGTCCGAATAGATATAATAAAAAAAAAAAAAGAGAAAAAATCTTTAAAAATTTGTCAAAGTGTTACTTAAGCGCTACCGTCCAAAGAGATACCTAAATAAAAAAAAAAGATTTATTTTTAATTACTCAAAGTAGAGAAAATATCTTTAAAAATTTATCAAAGTTCAAAAATTTATAAAAAAAAAGTTGTTTTTACACGACTTCTTAAGTTTGGTTAAGTTAGACAGTTGGCGATCGCGATCAGCCACGCCAGCGTCGCACACTTCCTCATCGCGGCCTTCCCGCTACTGTCCGAAGACATAAAATAAGAAAAAACTTTAAAAATTAGTCCCTCACTATGGCATTACTTCTGAAGTTAGGTTAAGTTTAGTCGCGCGTGATCACCGCCGGCGTGTGATCACAGCTGCTGTACCAGCGCGATCAGCGACGCTAGCGCCAATCCCATTTCTGCATCGCGGCCTACCCGCTACCGTGCGAAGAGATAAAAAAACCGCCCCCCTGCTCATAACTTAAAATATCTGTACATCTCCATTTATAGTATGGGTTCCAACGATACTTTGCGACAGCAGCTTTAAGGAATTAAATATCCTCACCGGATATACAACAAATTACCGACCCCTTTAAAGGAATTGCCATCGACACAATTTAAAATACAATTATTTAATTTATTAGTTGACAAATGTCATTACACAGTTAATGATTATATAAACGATGTTTAACTAATTATTAGAAAACATAATATATTGACAATTCGAACTTGTCATAACTTTAACATTCCTAATGAATATATAACAGTTTTATAAAAAATATTTTATTACTTTCATAATAATAATAAATGTATAAGATGTAATTTAATTGAATTGTGTAAAGAATAATAATAGATTAATTCAAATATGTATTTGCATGTCTGTAAAGACTAAAAGTGAGAGCTATATAACATAAATAACCATACCATCTATTATGTACTACTTTTATAACAAATAAATTTCATTTCATTTCATTTCTCACTGTTGATTCTTAATACATTTATGAAAATATCATGTATACCAGGAAAGATATAGACAGTGTCTAAACAGTTAGTTATTACACAAAGAAATACTGCCTAAATAATAATAAACTGATTTTACATGATGGCGCTTTAAAGTTAGCAATTCGTTATATGATACTTACGTAAAGTTTTACAACAACTACCATACTCTGTTCTAAATCTGCCTGAATAAAGATTCCAATGTCGTGTAAAAATCACTAACAATATTAATAATAATAATAATCTCAGGACAATTCACACAGCGCCATCTAGACCCAAGTTAAGCTAGCTAAAGCTTGTGTTATGGGTACTAGACAACTGATACAAATACATAGATAATTTTTTTTTTCGTAAATACATACATATTATACATAGAAAATACCCAGACCGATACAAACAATTATACTCATGACTACAAATGTTTGTGCCGTGCGAGGAATCGAACCCGCGACCATCGGACGGAAAGCGCTGTGCTAGACCGCTAGACCACCGAGGTCGTCATTAATATTATCTGATTACAATTACATAAGTGCGGAACAGTTTTAATTTTGATTACAAGCCCCTTAATTGTTATTGTGTAATTATTTATTTAAAAAAACATCTATTCAAAAGAGCAACACACAAGTTTCTCACTCATTCTTCTTGTGACAGATCTCCGTTCCGAATGAGTGGTAGAATAAAAAAATACGACTATTCAAAAGTACTTATATCGAGTTTATTTGAATAAAGATTATTTTTATTTCTATTTCTGTGGTCTTTCTGACACATACCAATGAAATTAAACAAATTGACATATTGTCAAACAGCCGTATCGAAGTCAAACACGCTGTTACATTAATGTAAGTTCTAATTTAATTCCCATACAAAGTCCGGTTGGGTTTTTCATGGTAAACAAAAACTTGTGACGTACTTTGTGATTCGTTGCCGTCACTTGACTCTGAGTCACAGGTCGAAGTCATTGTCAAAGATCACATAAGAATCATTCAGTACATAGAGTTAGTGAATTTACACAAATGCAGTTTATTTAAAGTTACTAATTACTTTTTGCGTAAGGTTTTACAACAAACTACCAGAAGAGGTTGCCAACAATAATAATGTTCTTCTAGAAAAAACTCGAAATTCATATCGCTGACAATTCTATATGATTACACTAAGAATGAGTGCATTGCGGTTTCTTCTCGATTATCGCCAAAAATATTCAAAAGAGCAACACACAAGTTTCTTGATCATTCTTCTTGTGATGAATCTGCGTTCTGTATGAGTGATAGAATAAAAAAATGACCATTCTGAAGTGCTTGTATTGAGTTTATTTTAATAAAGAATATTTCTATTTTTATTTCTGTGGTCTCTCACATGAATGAAATTAAATTAATTCATAGTTAGATATATCTATACTAATATTATAAAGATAAAGAGTTTGTTTGTTTGAACGCGGTAATCTCAGGAACTACTGGTTCGAATTGTAAAATTCTTTTTGTGTTGGATAGTCCATTTGTCGAGGAAGGCTTTAACCTATATAACATTACGCTACGACCAATAGGAGCGGAGCTGCAATGAAAAATATCGCAAAAGGTGGGGTAATGAAGTGGGTCAGCTAGTTGTCATTAACAATATGCTGTATTACATTAAGTTCTAATTTAATTCCATATAAAAACTCCGTTTGGTTTTTTTTCGTAAACAAAAACTTATGACGTACTTTCTAATTTGTTGCCGTCACTTAACTCTGAGTCATAGGTCGAAGTCGTTGTGGAAGATCATATGAGATCCATTTAACATGAGTTGGGCCCAGGGTTGTCCACTATGCAGGCAGTCCCCCAATCCAAAGGCCCCGGAGGTGTGCGCGTACCCCACACAACATGAGGGCGAAATAGGTCGTAACCACAAAACGAGATGGAGCCTGCCCTACAACATCATAGGGCGGGCCGTCGCCGTCGGAGCTGGGAAGATGCATTGCGAATCCCCTGGCTCCGGCATAGGCGCTCGTAGGTTGTGGCCCAGGGTACAAGTCCCACACACCACCTCGCCAGCCCTCCGGCGGGGTGACGGTCTTTTGAAGATTTTTCCACACGTTAAAAAAAAAAAACCAGGGTTGTCCACTATGTATAAATCTGCTGTCCACGCAACAGGACCCGAGGGGGCGCATCCCGTATTCCGGTGCGTCTGCCCCACGGTGGGGGGAAGCAGGAGAAGTGAGAAGAGTTCCCCTCGCGCGTTAAGAAGAACCTATTTGCGGGCTACCACAGCTAGGGTCGCGGTTGATTGCGAACTCGATCCCGGCACTATGGCCGCGAGGAGGAACATCGTGGGGTTCTTGATGAGTAGGAGTCTGACCCCTGAGATGTGCGGGTCTCCTTGAGAGATTTTATCAAGTTAATTTTAAACTTTCCTGTTTAATATACATTATTTAAATTATTAACCGGGTCTTAACACGAATAATTTTATGGCAAATAAAGGTATTTACCTCTCTCTCTCTCTCTTGCTCGTGACCACGGCTAGTGCAACCTAGTCGAAACGTCGAGAGAGGTAAATACCTCTAAGGTTATTTGCCATAAAATTATTCGTGTTAAGACCCGGTTAATAATTTAAATAAAGATTTTATCAATTATTGAATTAATTTTATAGACACCCAGACTGATATAAACAATCATACTCATGAATACAAATGTTGCACCGTGCAATCGAACTTGGGATTAAAACTAACCACTAGACCACCAAGTCCGTTAATGCTAAGAAACATTTGCGACATTGTGAACGGTCAGTTTTGCATTTCATCATTTCAAAACGGACGGATACACTTCCTCTGATAATGGAATCATTTCACAAACCGATTCTCACATCCTCTGGTTTCTGCAGACAAGGAACTGGCTTTCCTAACAAATAAAACTTATCGGATAACCTTACCATTTGTTTTTTTTTATACCACTTAGGTGGTAAACAAGCATACGGCCCATCTGATGGTAAACGGTTACCGTAGCCTATGGACGCCTGAAACACCGCACACCAAAAGGGTTGTTTTGACAGCCCCTGTGGTCTAACGGTATAGAAAACCGCTTTACTTCCGATGGTCGCGGGTTCGATTCATAGGTATAAAATTTTACAATAAGATACCAAAGGATATATTGGAATTACCCTTAAATAAATTCAAAACATCTGTTAAATCATATTTACTGAGCAAGGCCTATTACTCACTAAACGATTACTTGAATGACGAGCGTGCATGGCAATAGTTTTCATGTTCGGAATTTTCATTTAATGTTAGACATAGACACCTATATAAATACCTATGCATTGTAAATAAACTGGATTTAAAAAAAAAGTAATTCAATTGAGTTTCTTGCCAGTTCTTCTCAATTGGATCTATATACCGAACTGGACGGTAGGGAAAAAAATTATAATGTAAAACGTGACGTTCAGAAGCGGCTAAAATGTCCTACATGAATAAATGATTTTTGAATTTTGAATTTTGAATTTTTGATTCCACGGTACAAAATATTTTAGTTGTGAGTATGATTGTATGTATAGGTCTCGGTGCTTTCTAT